AGAAGAGAGGACAGCACCCTGAAGTGCAGTGCCACTTGGTGATCACACGAGGAGACAACAACTGAAAAAACATAAGTGAAGAATAGCTTTAAAATTCGAGAATTTTATTCTTTTATTGTATGTATCACTGTATATAATAACGTGCTTCTCTAACACTGCTGCCTGTGGATGGGAGAAATATCCTTAATGTCTTCAGATCTGTGAGGTGGCTTCCTCAAAGTTGTTTCTTGCCGCTATTAAAAGAAAAACCTACCAGGAAAGATTTACTCTTACCGAGTCATGCAACAGTCATTTCATTTTCAAATTATTAACAGGAAGACATCCTCATCTGATCATCCGTGCTGTAAAGCCCTATCTCGGAGGCCTGATATCATCTCCTCAGATTTCCTGGGAGCCTTACTGATGCCAGTTGGGATCAGCCCTAAATGAAACACAAGAGAATCTTGGCTCCTGTGTGCAGTTCTTTTCAGTGTCTCTCTAATCAGCTGATTTCATTTTTCCCTTTGGTCTTGGCATCAAGCTATAGATTGTTCCTTGAATTTCATCCTGAACTTACATGAGATGAACAGATAATAGGAAGCTGAACTCATTTTCTAATTTACTTTGAAACTGAATTCTAAATTATATTTATGGGGAAGGACTGAGTCAGCCTGGGATGGGCGAGAACTGTGTTCCACCCAGAATTCGAATAATCTTTCAAAGAAAAGTGTCCCAGGAACTGTTCTAGCATGTGGCAGTGGGGGGGTGGGTGGAGATTCTTGTTTGCCATAAAATAAACCCCATGAAAAGCACACATTCAGCAGTGTTTAGCCTGCTAGAATCCTATTCAATGCTAGTTTGTTTCATTAATTCCATCAAGCATCTCCCTTAGTACCAGGAAATTTTACTGTGTTCACCTTAAATTTAAAAATGCTCTTTCAAGACAATATTTTTCTGTGTCATAGACATGCATTAGATGGAATCTGTATGTCTTGATGGCCGAGATCCTGTTCACCACAGCATCCACAGGTGGAAGTTCATTTGTGAACTTGTGACCATTTGAACTGGATTACGTTAATTTGCATGCAGGACTTCACACACATTTGGCATCTGATCCCTGAGCTGCTTCCCAGCTGACAGGTTGCTGGGGTGGTCACTGAAGTACAGGCACTGCACACCAGGTGTGCCAAGGCGAGTTTCTGACACTGCTACTCACAGGAGCTATTTAACCTGTCCATACCACAGCTTTCTTAACTGTATAATTAAGTAGTGGATATTTTGTGGGGCTTAAAGTTGAAATTAGCAAGTTTCAGTTGAACACTTAGAAGACTGTCTCTAATATATATGCACTGTGTTAATTTTGGTTATTACCTCTAACCAGGACAGCTGATTAGACTGTGTAATACACAACACAAGCTGCCATTCATCAACCACTCACATCAGTGCTAGACATGCATTCATCTCTTTTAGCTTTCTCTCAGTAATGAAATAGATACTATTATTTTCTTTAATTCCACAGAGACATAAGTTCATGGTCACACAGCTAGTAAGTAAAGGAGCTTTGACTTAAACCTGCTTTTGACTCTAAATCCCCAGCCTTACCCACGGTAAGAGGCAAGGATCAAGGTCACCAGAGTAGAGGCTTTTTTTTTTAACCCAGTGCCCAGATGGTTTTGAAACAGCCTTCCCTGTTACCACTCCAGGAAGTGAATCACATGAGGATCGTGTTTGGGAGAGGCTAAAGACTCCATTCTTCCTGAGATTTGGAATTTTTCTCTTTATGCACTCCTACTTTCTATTGATTTCCTTATTTATCAGATTCTTGTCTTCACTGCATACTTATCCTTTAAACTCAAAGTGTGTGTGTGTGTGTGTGTGTGTGTGTGTGTGTGTGTGTGATGAATAAACAAATCAAAGCCTCAGTCAGGGTAGAGTGGTGGGAGCTCCATTTGCAGTTCCGAGCTATTAATATCTGAGGTCTGTTTTTTCTCTTATCTGTTAGTCGGATAAGAGAAGACACTGGGGAAGACACTGAATTCTTCTGAGTCTCACTATGAGTTCCAGTTTGGAAACTTTGGCATCTTCTGGTTCTGTCAGCCTGCCCCTAAATCTGTTACCCTTGGGAGCAATGTTGGTGACAGTAAGGGTCATCTTTGGGAGAGGCAGTGAGCTAGTGGTGGTGGTGATGAAGGTGGAGAAGATGATGGAGATGGTGGTGACTGTGGAGTAGTAATGATGGTAATGGACACAGAGGTGGACGTTACGGTGATTGGAGTAGAAGTGAAAGTGAGGTGATGGCAGCAAGGGCTGTAGGTGGTAGGGATAGTGGTGATGTTGGTGGAGATGCTGGTCATGGAAGCAGAGAAGATAATGGTGGAGGTGATGCTAGTGGCTGAGGTGGAGATTACGGTTGAGGTGGTAGTATTCATAACAATGTCCCTTAACTGGCAACATGCAGTATCCATAGTGCTTGCACCCATGGTCTCACTCAGTCCTCTAAGCATTGATGTTAGTTGCACTTTTCAGATGAGTCTGAGCTTTGTAATATAAAGCTGAGCATGCTTTGCTGGCGAAGCTGCTCATGTCAGGTGAGGGCAAATCTGGACATGCCTCGGGAATACTGTCTTGGGAAATTTGTCATAGATATATGGTGAAACGTTTGCTTTTCCCAAATTCTCTTGCAAAATGACCTAGATGTGCCTAACTTTTGCCCAGATGGAAATTTAGATTCCTAATTGTCAGATTTCAATCTTCTGGGACCCCACAGCATAGAGCATGGATATGGTGCCCTGTTACCTTTTCTAGGTGCTCTTTGGGGGCTTCCCCTTTCTCTGTATATTTCCCTCTTTAGAGTACAACCCAACTCTTCTTTGGGTCTTGGGCTTCAATTTCTTTGGCAAATGATTGAGGTATCTTCATGAGGACTGTGACTTAAAGAGTGCTTGAGGTGAGTTTTGGGACAGAATGAATGTCTTCCAGTGTGTCTCTTTGGTAAATGTGATTTTTCTATATCTTCACCTATGGGCCTTCACTCATCCTCCAGTCATATGCTATGGGAAAGTTAGTAACAGGAGATGGTGTGTGTGTGGGATCTTAATTATTAAACTTCTGTCCCTGAAGGCAGCTGTCAGAACCCAGTGCCCTCCATGCCCCTCCAGCCCTCCTTTTCAGACTACTCTTGCTTGAATGAGGAAATTCTTTTTCTTCTACTCAGGATGGGAATGGAAATGAACTAGACTCTAGGCCCTGAGTCAGGAAGGTTAGTATTGAGTCCTTTGGACAGGGAACCTGGAGATGAATGAATTTTAAATGCTCTCCTACCAAAACTCCTCACTCAAAATCTGCAATTTTCCTTCTTTGCTTTGGCTTATGTTTATTAAGCTGCTGCTCTGTAAGGGTATTGTGTTATACACTGAGTATACAGCAGTGAAGATGTCTTGTCTTTACTGAGTTTATGGTCTGGTTCACACTGCAGCACGTGGTGAGGCTTTAGAGGTAGGAAATCTTAATGAAATCACAGAAATGAACTTGACATATAAGAGTTATATTGTCAAGAAAGGTTCTGAGGAAGAACAGATGAGCATGGTGTGATCCAGCGGATCAACAAGTGCAGAGAATGGGAGACCAGAGAGAATGGACAGAAGCACAGGGACCACAGCATAAAAGCCAGTGCAGATCTGACACCCCATTCTATGAACTGAATTAAGTCTCCTCTAAATTTATGTGCTGACTCCAAATGTGATTGTATTTGGAGATGAGAATTTTAGGAGGCAGTTAAGATTAGATGGAGTCATATGGAAGGACCCTGATCCAGTAAGACTGTCTTTCCCCTCACTTACCATTACCCTCTGTGTGTGTGTCTGTCTGTACCTGTCCCTGTGTCTGTCTTGTCCCTGTGCCTTCCCCTTCCTCTTCCATCTTCCAGATACCTCAGCAGGCACTGAATCTACCAGCACCTCAATCTTGGACTTGTAGCCTCTATGACTGTGAGTGAGAAATAGCTGCCGTTTCAGCCAGCCAATCTGCATTGTCTCCTCATGAGAGTCTGAGCTGTCTGATACATTCCATATTTAGACAAAGGAGGGAAGAAACCACTTTCTCCCTTGGAGTCTTGTTGTTAATTGTGCATCAGTAGCTGGAAGTGGTTTCTGGTGTGTAGCTTTACCTTTGGGTGACACGGGTCAATAATAGTTCCTAGCACACAGCTCCTGAAGACTGATTCTCTACTCTGCACCCATCTAGCTGCAGCGAAAACCTCCACAGAAGCTCTCAGCTGTGTGTGCATCCTTTTCTGGACCTCTCCATGTTGGAAAGGAATCTCTGGCCCTGTTCAGCTGCTCTTCAGCCTCCATCACAAGCACTTAGCTCTGGTTCTCTAGACAGCTTTGGGGAGAGTATGGGAACCTCGGGAAAGGAGAGAGGAAGGAAACAGGTCTGAGGCCTATTTGTGTGTTTCCACAACCTAAAATACCGCAGATCCTCTCTGCAGCATGGCCTGGCTCTGGCTCTAAGGGGAGCTTGTTGGAAGGCACGTACTTCCAGGCTGGGAGGCACTGTGTTTGGCCTCATGGGCTGTGTGGATTTGAGGTCCTCAACCTGCTTCTCTGAGAATTCTACTGGTTCACCACTACGTGAATCTCTTAGATCGTTTTCTTTCCAGCTGTTCATGGTTTTATTATTTACAGGAAACTAAATTCTATTATACTCTAACAGCCATTAAGCAGTGTGAGTATGCCATGCTTACTGCTGGCTGGTGTGAGCGATCTGTGGTGGGAGACACCCTAGCTATGTGCTTCTCCATAAGGTCCACAGTCTCCCCAGCAGGCTGGGAGGGTGTCGGCATCATGCCTTCTCACCGCTGCCCACTGCTGCACCATGTGCTACTAGCAAAGCAGCTTTTGGTTTTGGCTGTCACACTGGGAAATAAAGCTACAGGCTCTTATAGCTACACCACAATTGAGGACTTTACTATTAGTGCATTTAGAGTAGACCACTTGCGTAGAAAGCCACACAGCCATGTATTGAGATCCACATAGAAAAATATTTATTTAACAGGTTCCAATTATTCATTTGCCATGCATCATAAGGAACAGAGCCACTAAACCACAGTGACAACCCTAAATGCTATTGACTTTGAGTGCAAGTGATTGTCCTACAGCTCCCAGACAGGAGGGCTAATTTTAGAAATATATATTCATGACTGTAGCAATTTATACTTTTTTTCTTGTACTGAAGCTTGTACAACACGATGAGATGGATGGAATGCTTAGCAAATAGCAGGCCATTTGGATTCTGTTTCTGTGCCATGTTTCAGAGGTCTCTGGCCTTTACATGGTGGATGGAGTTACACTGGGGAGAGCATTTTTTCCTAGATTCCATCAAATTGCTGGGGCAAGGATGGGACATCGAATCATCTGTCTTCATGGACAGAAGCAGCCATCTGTGGTACGTACATCACTTTGAAGCTGTGGCCTGTGCCCTTCTCTGAAAACCAAACCCCAGTAGCTCTTCTATCTTCTCCTAAAGAAAATGTCTCAAAAATAAAAAGGGTAAGAAGACAAATTTGTTTAAAGAAAGCTCTCCAAGTTGATGGGTCATCATCAGGTGTCCAAACAAGTCCTCACAGGATCAGACTATATATAGAACATGAAATTGGCTCTCAGTGTGGGTGCATTTACTTTATCATCAAATATGTCCCATTTGTATCATTTCTGAAGTCTCTCTATTTTCCTTGGACAATCTTAACAATAAGTGGTGATGGCACTCCCTGGCAGCCATCTGTTTGCTAGTAAGGAACTTCCTGCAGCAGAATTGGATACCTTCTCAAGACTGTCTGAGAAGAAAATAGAAAGAGAGAGCTTTGTGCTAGCAAAGCTGTACTTGGCTTGGTTTGTGGTGATGGAAAAAAAAAGAGAAAAAGCAAGAATCAGAAAGAGATGCCATTGCTTTGTATACTGAAAAAGCATGAAAAGAAAGGGGAGAAATGGAAGTGAAAGAGGAGTGGAGGAAATGAGAGGAAAGAAAAGGAAAGAGGCAGAGAAAAAAAGAGCAGAAGAAAATTAGAAACAGGAATGGGGAGAGTGGCTCAGAATGGTAGAGACTGGAGGGTGGTTGCCAAGGAGAGAGGACAGAGGCAGGTAGTCCTGCATGACTGTCACTCAGGCACATTAAAACATGACCTTCTTTGTGAAGGTCTTGGAGGTTAGAAGCTGTACCAAAGTTAGTACTGAATTGGACTTCTCAGGTCAGACAAGGTCAGTGCCTGTAATCAGGGTCTCAACTGGCTCACAGAAGCAGATTGGCAAGCACTAACCTATAAATCCAGAAAGCGCTAAAACCTTTTATTGGATGTATTTGTCTCTTTTTGGCTTCTCATTCAACTAACCATATGCTTTCTTTCCACTGGCAATTGCTATTTAAATGTCAGTTGAGAGCAGATGTTCCTCACTCTAGTATGTACACATTTATTTACTATCCACAAAACCTGGTGGAGTGTTCTCTAGCCATGCTGGCTTCCCATTGTCTCCATCCTCCCTTGTGCTGCAGCCACACTGAGCCCTATGACTCTCTTGCCTTCTCCCATTTCACAGCGTGGCTGAGAAAGCTTGGGCTCTTACTGTCCTGTAATTTGTAGTCTCGATGTTGCTGCCTGTAGCAAGGTGAGCTGTCTGTTCTTGCTCTCATACTGCACTGCTCAGACCACTGTCGTGGCCCTTAGCAAACCAGACTGTGGCTATCTTGCTGTCCCCAGTTTTGCATCACAAGAACCAAGGGTGGAGTTTATAACAGACCACAGGGAATACAAATTAGAGAAAAGTGGGTAATGTTTAATTCTTGCTTCCTGTGACCAGAAGTAGAATTGGAAAATGGGAACAGAAATAGTCAAGAAAAAGACAAACTAACTATAATAAAGAAAGTCCAAGTCATCCTTAACATTCCCATTGTACCCTCAAGTCCTCAACAGTGAAACTCTAGGAAAACTTTGGGATTTATTTAAATCATACAAAGTACTCTGTTGGGGGAAGATTAAGTCTCTAGATCTTTTCTGCTTAATCCTAAGGAAATAGCCCTTTAAAAGTAAGTACTTATGTAAGACAGATGTATGAATAGATAACAAATGATTAGATGGATGAACAGAAAGGTGAAAGTGGTTGGATGGATGGACGGACAGATGGAATCTTTATAGGCAAAGTTACCAGCTTGCAACCTAAAGTCATATTTTGTTTTTTAAACATGTTCCAGGTAACAGGCTGGGTTTTACCTGCTTTTTCAGAGGAAATGTGTATCCCAAAATTTTGAATGCCTATTCTTGGAGAGTCTGGTTCTAAAGCTGAACAATGGAGGAGATGTTGTGTTGACCTGCGTGTCACTGTATCTCATATTGTAAGCACTTGAGCCTAAAACTGGGAGTAAAAGCCCAAAACTTTAGTAAGAAAGAATACCCTCACTGCACAACCAAGGGTAGAATCCTGCATTTGAGCAGCATGGTAGCATGATGCTGGGAATTTGTGGGCAAATCACTTGGTCTCAGTTTCCTTCCTTTTAGAATATGGGCTGGTCTCTTACGTTTTCTTCCTGCTCTTTGATTCTCTCAGACTCTAAGATGAGTTGTGGGGAACACACAAATACATACCTCACTTTAAAGGTGGCAGGCTGGAGGGTAGTGTCAGATACATCAACACTGCCATGCCTCAGGAAGAACCAAATCCATTCCTGAAAGTTAAATCAAACAGGCCCCCACAAATGCTTGTGGAATGTCAGGTTGCAGTGCAGAACGTTGTCAGGCATCTGTATTACTTCTGTTTTTGAAACAATTGTATTCTGTCAAAGATGAGCCTGTGTCATTATCTAATGGCTGTTGTCATTTTAGTGTGGTGATCAAGAAGGAAAAATGAAAATATATAGAAAAACAGACATGGAGGTATTTCAGAACCCAGAGTACAAGGCTGTCTAGAATATAATGCAGACCCATCAATAATTTAGTTAAAACAGTTTACCCGCTTTACATGAGTGAGTTCAGTTCACTGATCTTCATTCAAGTTCACAGTATATTTAACTGTGAGCTGCATGCTGCACCACACAGACCAAAGCATTATGGATTTTTTTCCCAGTGTAATACACAAGTCCAAATTGATTGCAGAAAAACATAAATTTAGTCAAATCTTTACTATACTGTATTAAAGCGTGAATAAGGCTTTAAAGCTCTGTCTTAGCTATGGAATAGCTGGAACTGGAGGTTGAACCAATTGCAAACAGCCAGGGTAGAAAGTTACCTTTGGCCTTGGTATTTATTCTCAATGGTGTATCACTTAAAATAATGAACTTTTTCTTTTCAAATGTAAAAATGAGCAATTACCTGTCATTATAGAATGACCGATTGCACATGGGAGCTACTTTGGTGTCCCCCACTGAGGTTAACTTCTATTATGCTGCCTGTGGATACACGCGTCACAGTTGTCATGTACTTGTATGCCCCAGGCCCCATTTTCTAGAACAAAAGTTACCTTTCAAAACACAAGAAAAAAGGTACCAGCCATTTCCCTACCTCTCACTGAGGCGGGGACGTGTATTTCAGGTGCCCCACCTGGTAGCTGGCACAATCTACAGTATTGTAGAATACCAGGCAAATATTGGACTGAGAAGTGCAAAATATGGCTGTGTATTTGCAGAATTATTTAAATGCTGAATAATTTGGAGTTCCTTTCTGTGGAAGGCTTTCTATGAAAAGAATAGATAAAGCTGTCCTACACTATAGACAAGAAATCACACTTGAAAGTATTAGGTTTCAGAGTTTTGGGTTATAATATTGCAAATACAGCTTAGGTGGGAGATTCCTGAGGGCTTGCTTGATTTGGCAGAGTGTGTGTATGTGCCTGGGAAAGGGATGAGTAGCAGAAAGGGAGGAAGATGAAATGGGGATTCTTAGTACTTTGCAGGAAGGATTATTATCAACTGTGCTGACCTGCATGGTAGACACTAGCCATGTACCTCCAGCTCTCAACTCAGATGTACTGTAAAAGTAAAATCTACACTGAGTTTTGTAGACTTAGTATGAAAAAAATGCAGTATCTCAATTTTTGTATTGATTATATATTGAAATCACATGTGAAATTGCATTTCTTGTATGTTAAATATTAGAATTGATTTCATCTATTTGAACATGATTATTCAAAAATTTTAAATATATTATTTATATATTTATACTAGACAGAGCTGCTCTGTTTTACATAGTGGAATTGTGGTTAAAGTCTACTTTCCTGTGTATCTGTATTTTCAAACTGTGAAATTATGAGAAACTAAAAGTATTATGTTTTGAAGAAAAGCAGACATCATAGATTTTGGAGTCTGGCAATCATGGGTTCTGGCTGTGGCATCTGTGAAACTAACCTCTGGGTTTTGACTTTCTCATTTGCTAAATGAAGATCCTGTGTTGACCTCACAGGTCAGAGCTCATCAGGTTGTCAGGGTGAGAAACCTATGGGAAATGAGTGAACCAGAGAGAAAAGCCAGTAACCAGCCAGCGTCACTTTTGGTTATACCTCATGGCCTGCTGGGCGTGTCATTGTAAGGTTCTGGTCCATTTCTACGCAGATCCATTGTTCTTGTTTAAGTTTATACTTGCTGTTATACCTACTTGCTCCTCTCCCAGAAAAACCACCTTCCCTTTTCCTTATTGAGAATCTTTCATCTGTCCTATTTACTCTTATTTATTCAGAATGAGCTACTTCTCACTTAATTAGCTCATTTCCATTTCAGAACAAGAATTTTACCATTCCCTGGAACTACAAACCATACCCCAGGTCTTGATCTGCCTCAATCCTATCTCCTATCTGGATGCTGAGTCTTAGCTTTTACCACTCTGTTTCTCTTAATAGAATGATCAAAGACCACTGAGGCCAGGCAAGTGTGCATGGGAAATTAACAGACAAATAAGAATCCTATAAGGAAGAGATCATGAGAATGAGAAACAGGGCAGAAGTGAGTGTAACTCCTCTCCCCTTGCTCCATATCCCTGCTTCTTTCTCATAGCCTTTGCCTGTTGGCTTTACTCTGTTCAGCCCATGACAAGTACATAATTCTTCTCTTTGCCTTTGTAGAATCTGATGCCTGAAGAACAACCTCCCACAATGTAACAAACCACCCCTCTGAAATCATGCATTCAATTTCCATATTCTGAGAAATAGCTCCTTAGATGAAGATGGTTGTACTTGGTCTGTGAAACTCAGTGACAGAAAGGAAAACGTAAAGCTTTGTGAAAACATGTATCTTGCTCAGGTATAGGAAGCTTCTTAGCTCCTTCACAGCTAATGGGATAGGCTGCTCCCCTCAGAGCTGCAAGAGATGAAAACAAGCAGCAGAGACTTGAGAACGTGAATTTATGATAGCACAGGTCATTGGAAACACTTGTGCTCCTCAAAGCAGTGGGAAAAAACCCCAATTTCCCATGCAAGTATTTTTTCTTAAATGAGAAAAATGCTGATTTTTTTTCTCTCTTCTCCAGCAGCTGTAACTAGGTGATTAGGAATATACTCTTGACTTAAGATAGTATTTTTGCCTTTTCATCAAATCAATGCTACTTTGCCTATTTTATTTTTAGATTTAGTGACTGTTCTCAGGGTAGCAAGTTCAAAGGGAAGAAATAAACAAATTGGTTTGTATTTCAAAGCCAGAGGTAAGGTTTGACAGGAAGAACTCTTGGAAATTAACAAGGGAACAGGTTCTCAGGCACTCCTGGCTGACAGCTGGGCATTAGGGAGATTTGTCCTTGGGGACGCAGAGTTATTCCAGTGTTGGAGAACATGCCATGGGTCCCTCAGCCACCAGGCAAGGAGCGCTCAGACAAGTGTGTGCGGAAAAGCCCACCCTGGGTGCCCGAACACAGCTTTTTCCTGGAGCATTTATTATGAAATATTTGCCATCAATCATAGGCATGCATCAGTCACTGCCAATATCACTTCCCTGCAGTTTTCTAGAAAATCAGAAGGTTTGAAAATGTGAATGACTTTTTCTTACAACTCAAATTTTGGAGAGGGAGGAAGCATTCCTGAAAATGTAAATATTGTTTTAAGATAGCAGCTCTCTATGTGGGAATTTAGAATCTGGATTCTTGGCTTTGGAGAAAACACACACACACACACACACACACACACACACACACATACACACACCCCTGGAGATGGGCTAATCTTGTTTTTTCACTGTAGATCGACTCTTATGATAACCGTGACTTTGGCTGTTTGTAGGCTACAGAATATCTTTTTCTGTCAGAACAGCAGAAACAGGGTTGATCACATAGTCAGAATGCCAGTCGTGTGGAGGCCCAAAAAAACGTATATGCAGCACATGGGGGTAGGGTGGGGGACAGTGAGCAACGTCTCTCCTCAAGGCCTGATAGTTTCAGGCTGCCAATGCTGAGGTTTAGTGCCACAGAAGCAGTGAGCATATTTCTAGCTAGACTAGAAGTTTCTGTGGTTGCTCTGAGATAATTCACACACACACACACACAGACACACACACACACACACACACACACGAAGGTGGAATAGATGATGCAGCTAAGAGTGACTGAACTGAAGCAGAAGTGCTCTTGGCAGCTATCCGCATCATGACCAGAGGTGTGCACACCTAGCACATGTATATCCAGAAACGTTCTTGGGGATGCACTGTCCTTGATTTTGCTTTCCTTGAAACCAAATGCAAAGTCAGCGTTGTTAAATGTGCTTCTTCATTACCAAAGGGAAAATTACTCTCATTTGACTTCAAAATATCACTGGGTCTTCTTTATGCAGACATTTTTAAAAATACAAGTCGTGTTTCATCTAATATGGCTGTACCATATGTATACATCTATTTCTTTAAAACAAAAAGACAAACCCAGGTTTATGGACAACATAAAATATTTTCTGGATACACAGGCAACAATGAAAAGATTTTTAAAATTAACAGGCATCAACAGGTATAAATACACTGTCTAAAGCATTTAATGGTCTTTAACAGAGCCAACTCCCCCGAGCTTGAAGCTGCGTTAAATTCTCTTGCCGGTGGCAAAAGAAGCTGTCAAGCACAACATTGATAAATTGGTACCATTTCCTGGCCAGTAAGCACAGAACTGAGGGGCTAAATATTTCATGATTTTTTGTTGTTGCTGTTTATTTTTGTTCTCATGCTGCTTCTCTCTTCCCCGCCCCCTCACCTGCTCAGGGTTGATCGTTGTGACATTAGCCGTATGCTGGATGCCGAACCAGATTCGCAGGATCATGGCTGCAGCCAAGCCCAAGCACGACTGGAGCAAGTCCTACTTACGGGCCTACATGAACCTGCTCCCCTTCGCCGACACGTTCTTCTACCTCAGCTCCGTGGTAAACCCGCTCCTGTACAACGTGTCTTCGTCGCAGTTCCGCAAGGTGTTCGGGCAGGTGCTGCGCTGCCACCTGACGCTACCCCACGCCAACGAGCAGAAGCGCCTGCGCGCCCACGGCAGCTCGGGCACCGACAGTGCGCGCTCTGCCCGCAGCCCGCTCCTCCTCTTCGCTTCCCAGCGAGGTTCCTCTGCAAGGAGAACTAACAAGGTTTTCTTAAGCACTTTCCAGAGCCAGGCCATGCCCGAATCTACACCCCAGTCTCTGAGTCAGGAGTCACCACAGTCCAACTCGGAGATGAAGCCGGTCCACTCTGCCGCAGAGAATGGTTTCCAGGAGCTCCAGGTATGAAGGTCAAAGGAGGGAGCCTCCATTGGGAACCCAGCCTCCCCGCCAAGCAGCTCACCCAGCAGCCACAAGATAAACTGCGCCCCCCTCAGGGACATGAAGCCAGAGGCTGCTGAAAGGGCAAGTCCCACCTTGGTGGCTGCTAAGGGCTGATTCCGCCAAACAGCCCTGGACTCTGGTTTACTCGGGCAGGGGTGCTGGACTGAGCGCCACTCCCTGTCTTCAAGTACACGCTAAATATCCAGCTGGACTGCTTTTGCAGGAAGCTCTTTCACTATTTGCAAAGGAACAAAAGTAGAACTGACTTTTCTCTACCCAGAATGAAAGAACACTCAGAATAAACTCAGGGAGCAAGGGCCAGAAGAACAATGCAGGAGGGTGGCAGCTCCTTCAGCTTCAGCAGTGTGCCAAGAAAAGGGCTAATTTGAGGAGCAGGATGGTGGTGGGGAACGTGGGCCTGAGGGCTGAGGCAAAGCTGCCCCTTTTCTTGGGCCTTGGCCCATTGCAAAGAGGCGTGTTGCAGCAGCTGATGCACACTGAGTTCAGTTTCCCTGGGGAGCAGAAGGACTGGTACCCAGCAGAGGCGATGAGACAGGCCGCCGAGGATGCGCAGGACTTGCGATACATGATCCCTGCAACACAGACCCAAAAGAGCTGGGTTAACGAGCAGCACTGGCTGATCCAGGCCTTCTGTCCCTTGAAGCCCAAATGCACAGGGGTAGCTCTGCTATGGTCCTTTCACAGTCCCAGGGCTTGATGGGCGTGGGAGGTACTTTGGGTTGCTTTTCTGAGCTCCCCAAAGTCAGAGCTATGGCTAAAGAGGCAGGCACTACTGAACTGTTTTTGATAACATTTTGCAGAAGCTATTTTAGATGTCTCTGCCAGTGGGGGGAAAAATAAAATATGCCTTTTTTCTTTTTTTAAAAAAAAAATACACCAATGTTTGCACTTTGTATTACAGGTTTCCCCCAGCCCCCTTTGAACTATGTCATCGTAGGATGACAGCGTGTGGTTTATCTAGATCTTAGCTAAGTCACCACAGAGAGATGATTCTCAACTATGTGTTTATTAAATTCTGGAATTCCTTGATTGAAGACTAATTCCTCAAAGGGAATAAATCTTTACTACAGGGGTCTGACCTTTCCCAGTGGAGCTAATGAAGATGTGATCTGGCTAACAGTGTGCCAGGGACAGCCTCCTTTTCAGGGAACAATGTCTGCCATTGGGTCGAAAGGCCAGATGCCAAGTTAGCAGCAAAGAGCTGGGATTCAGTAATGTGTTACACTCTCTTGGCACTTAAGGTCTCCAGTCTTCAGAGGCTTATCACAAGGAGTACACATGTCCTGTCTAAAGTGCTGTACTCACCAAATTAAGGTGTCCTACATTATCCGTGGACTTCTTAAAGTTGACAGCTTATTCAAGTCAAATAATAGCTAAGTTACTTAAAGATTTTCCTAGGTGCTAGATATACACCTAGATATACACCAATATACAGAGCCTATAGCATATTAACTCACATACTGCTGTGCTAGAGTCTGGATTTTGCATGTGTACAACAGGCCCAAGTATTAAGGCTCGTGTCCCCATCATGGCACTATTGGGAGGCGATGGCACCTTTAAGAGGCACTGCCTTGTTGGGTATCTTAGATCAGTGTCTCCTTGAAGGGGACAGCGAGACCACAGCCTCTTGATCTTTTTTGCTCTGCCACATACTCTCCCAGTATGATGTGCTGTCTTGTCACAGGTTAGGAACGGAAGCCTTCAAAACAGCCAAAATAAACCTTTTCTTTTCCTAAATTGATTATCTCAGGTACTTTGTTACAATAATGGAAAGCTGATTATTGCATTCCAAGAGCAGCTCAACCAATCATTCTTATTGTACAAATCTCTTTCAAGATTCTGAGGGTCAGTAATTGAGGATTTAAGAACTTGCAACATCATACATGTAGGAAGTATAGCAGCTAGGAGTTGACCCTAGCATTTTGGCTATCATCTATAATACTTTATAGCAATGGGCAACAAATTAATGCTGAAAATGATAGTGTTTGTAGGATAGTTCTACTCTGAAAATCATTTTTTGGTATGTGTTGCTGTTTTATATCAATGAATTACTTTCTTTGACAGATGATTAATACTGGTGGACTCTGAACTGAATAGCCTCCTAGTTTGCTGTTCTGTGCAACTTAGGAATATAAAACATCAATCTCACCAGTAGTTACTGTCCTTTACCCCCTAGTTCCTGGCAGATATTTGGGCAGGTGTAGTTTAGGTTCGGATTGCTTCCTCCATGAGAATGCTGCTTTGGGTATACAGAAACACTAAAGCAGCGGACAAATAAGAAGTAAAAAGTACTTTAGATTTCCCTTAAAACATGCAATTTTATGTCATTTTTTTCTCTAAAACTGCATATTTGGAAAGATTGATTTTTCTATCACTGTTAGAGAATCCTGGAAGGGTGCTGCTCTGGTAATATAAAGCCCAACACAGTGTGGTTCAAGTAATCATTACATTTTCTATCCACTGTCCCTTTTGGAAATTACATTTAATCTCTAACTTTTTAGTCCTAATTTTAGAGCATTAATATCATTTGCCACTTCAGTTCAAATAAACTTTCTTCCTTTACATGAATTTTAAGAAGGCAGGAAGTGCTGTGCCAAGGAACAGGGCAAGCTGGAGATTAAGAAGGGCTTTGAGAAAGCAAAGGTATTTCACCCACCTTCTTGATTGTGATTAGACTAGAGATGCGGTATCTTCTGAGAAATGAGGGACAGGACTGGGTAGAGAAGCTGGGGTAGAAAGGTTGATTATTTGGAATCTGCAAAGTAGGGGAAATAAGCTGCCTCTTCAAAGACCTGAGATAAAAAAAAAAGAGTATCCGTGTCCATCTTCAGCAAGCAGCTGGAAACGAGGAAATAGTCAAGGACAAACAGGAGAGGTCCTGGGGAATAGTAAGAATTGCCCTGGAAGGAGAAAGCAAGCTTACAGAGATGGCTGCAGGCAAGAGGAAGTCACAGTAGCCTGTGATGGCGGCACTGGTGCAGGAACCCACCGCAAGGAATCTGAGGCAGAAGAGGTGGGTGGGTGGATTGAGTCCAGTTGAAAGAGAGTAAGAAATGTTGCTAAATGGGAGGAGTAGGCTGAGAGTTAACATCTGTGATGGATTCTCCTGCTCACACAGGTGTATCATGACAAATTCCAAGTGAGTCTAAGATAAACAATCAAAAAACAAGCCACAAAAGTACTAAAATGTACTCTAACATTTTGAGCAATTTCTTTCATTATATATAATAGTGAAGGTTCTGGGTTATTTTATGCCACAACCCCAGAAGCCAATATAGAAAAGACTGACAAGTTAAATATGTATGTATGTATGTATGTGTGTGTGTGTGTATATACACACACACACACACACACACACACACACACACACACACACACACAATCTCTTTAGCCATAAAGCAAAGTAAAATCCCTATAAAGGAAAGTAAAAGATAAGTGAAAGATTGAGAAAATCACAGTATGTTTTCCTAATAGGTCAAAGGCAGCATAGCAATCAGCAAATAATAAATTATAGTAAGTCAGTAAAATTATAAGCCATCCAAAAAATGAAGAAAACAAATGGACAGTTCACAGATTATCCAGGAAGAGCTTGGAAATACATAAAAAGATATTTATCCTCACTCATAAAGAGATGTGCAAATTAAAACTACACCGAGACACCATTTTTACTTATCACTTGGTCAAAGATCTAAAAGCTTATTAGCACCATGTCCATGGGGCTTGGACAGAGGCCCTTTCTCACACTATTGGTCAAGAGGGTAAACAGGTGTAAATTCCATGAAGATGATGTGGCAATAGCTACCAGCATTAGGAACAGCAATCCCACTTCAATGAATTTATCCCACAGACATTCACACATAAGCAAAATGTCCATAGGCAAGGTTATTCATCAAAAGGTAGTTTTAGGAGAAGAACAGATGATGACACTGTCATCAGGAGCCTGGTAAACACTTTTGTCTTAATCTACACAGGGATGTCACCTCGGAAAGGAAGAGGATTAAATTTTAAGAATATTTTGTTTAAAAAGTGCAGCTGGACAGATCCTTTTCTTTCCTTTTCAATAAATGAAGTCATGCTTCCATGTTCTAAACACAGTTTTAAGAGCTTTATAAATATTAATCATTTTAATAACTCTTGAACAATAATCTCCATTTTGCAGATGGAGAAACGGAGGCAGAAAGCAGTGAAGAACTTTGCTTAAACAATATGTAGATAGTGTGATACAGCTGAGATCTGAACCAAGAAAACATGGCTTTGAAATTTCTTAACCATTTCCACTGCATTCCCACCATGCTAGAATTTGTATCCACTGAGAAAAAATATGGTATCTGCACACATATTTTGCATACACATGCAATACACATATTTCAAGAAGACACAACAAAAAAATGATATTGGTTGTCTTGGAGATGTACTACGTGGTCATAGCATAAAGGGTGGAAAAAAACTTGTAGGCTTGTTCTCTACCATTTGAAATCAGGACCATTAAAATACCTTTCTAATAAGGGCATTTTAAAATAACACCCCCAGTGAACCATTTTATTAAATGGCTTCTCTTTTCACAGTAGTGCAGGGTCGTTCCTAGCTACCTCTACCAGATGCTCTTGGGAATGAACACACACTAAGCCACACATGGTGCCCATGACCTCAGGTCTTAGTCTGAGGGTGGAAGGACTCTGAGTAAAATCAAGAAGGCCTTCTTACAGATTACTGGTGGATGTATAAATCAGCATAATATCAGAAGGACTTATAACGTACATGCACTTTTTACATGGTATTGAGGATTGAACCTAGTGTTTTGTGCATGTGAAGCATAACCTCTGCCACTGAGCTAAAGAAATCCCCAGTCCTATAATAAAATGTACAAATCTAACAGATACATTCCTTAGCAAAGCAAAGCACACTTTCACATCCCTAATCGAGGAAAAAAGTACATTCATACTACAGGGTATTAAACAGCATTTAAAAGGAAATTGCAGAGCTCTACACTGATTTGGAAGGTTCTCAGTGAGTGGAACAATCAAGTTCCACAATGACACTGAAGTATACCATTCACGTAAGAAAAAACAGCAGTACATGCTGTGGCAATGTCTACAGGGGATGTATGTACAAATCTGAGGGTGACAGCTTATGTTTATAAGTAAAATCAGAGCAAGAGTTCCAGAAAGCAATACACTGAATGGTGTAGTCCCTTGAGTGATGGATGGTGGGCAGGACCCCCTTGTGATCTGGGGTATCAATGTTTTGCAATGGGAATATAGTCATAGAGATTGCATCTATAAATTGCAAATTAATAGAAAACTGTAATCTCAACCTGGTGCACTCAGCAACAAACAGTACATGACACTAGGGTGCAGATGGGTTCATATCATGGTGGCCAGGATGTGTGCAGCCTCATAGGGCCTCCCTATGGCATCAGATGGTACTGGCCATGGGTGCTATGGCTAGGCATGACTTCAGCAGCTATGTGAACAGGAAGTGATTTCCCAGCTGCGGTGACCGTAGATGGGTTTTCCTGAACATTTATGACTGGCATGGGGCTCCCACTGCCAGGTTAGTGCAGCAGAAGCTAATGACCAAGAAGAGAAGTGAGGTTCCCCAAATAGCTGAGAGATCTTCCCAGTGCCCTCCACTTCATGATCTTTTGCTGAATCCCTTCTAATCCCTTTAACAGAATGTAAACCCTGGCAACGAGAACAGTGCCTGGTATATAATGACTCAATAGTATTCATCAGATGAATAACTAAGTGAATGAAAGGAGCAAGGAAAGAAGACCAGAACATGGAAGGATTTGAAGGGGACCCACGATAGTAGGTACTTTTCTGACAAATTCTGACCAGAATTTTATTCCTGGCCTATATGGCTCCTTATCTAGTTGTCCCAAAGCCTCATGCACACACAGGTGAGGCTTGGGCATGCATGCTGGTTCCCCTCTGTGATGCCCCTCTGCCATGCTGTCCCCACCTTGGAGCCCGTTGGCTATGGACCGAAACCTCTACAAACTGTGAGCCAAATAAACCTTTCCTGCT